CTGTTTTTACCATAAAAGGATGTAAAAGATGTCAGAAACTGTATAATTGTAGGGTTAAGCCTTCTCCAAACTGGGTTTAACTTTAAGTCCTCACACTTTCATAAGGAGTTCAGCCCTTGAAGGTAATATTTGGTTAGTTTCTATTGTGTTTGAATCAGTTTTTAACACATCATCACAGGCTGGCTGTAGTTTAGATACATTCAGAAAATGTTTTTGGACTCCAGAAGAAACTCCTCAGTCTGGTTCACTGTGTCTGTAAAGATGATACAATAGCTGTATGGATAAAGCATCTATTATAGTAGAGTCGCCTGTTTTTTGTCAGATTTCGGAGCAGAAATGTCTGGATGTCAGGCCCAGTGGCATAAAATAGCTTTTAAAACTATGAGCTGCTGCACTTTGGGCTCATCTGTTAGGCAGATGATGCAATACATAGACTGATAGCAGTGCAGTGATTGTTTTCTCTCCATAATTAGCTGCTCTGTGGAGTTCAGCAACAGCAAACTGTGTTTAAAATCCGATCCGGTGCAATTAGATTGAACAAATTACAACAATTTTGATGAGAAAACTTCAAGTCATTTCCAGGTTTCAACTCTTGAACTGTCAGAGCAGAGATGTCCTTCTTAATGAGACGGCAGTCGCAGTCATTGGGGTTTTTATGGTCACTTTGCACCTCATTTAATTCAATCTCCAATCAGATGCAAATGCAGAACGTCCCAGTTTTGTTCGGTTTCGTTACCAATGACCAGCAGAACGATGAGGCCTTCAATGGTCCGGTGCCCCTGCCGGAAAAGACCGCTCAGTGTGGCTTTTGCAAAGTTTGAGAAACCAAAAATGCCGTATTGATATCCAGACCTGAGAGAACGGCACCATTTTGTGTCTAATCATTGAGGATTTGATCATAAAGGGCAGATATACGGCTCATCAGGGTCAATCCCTGCAGTTCAGACCTTTGAACATGGGGAGTTTAGCTATTTGTGTCTCATCTTAAGGAGCAGGAGAACCAACCGTTCACCGGTCATGTGACGTCAGGCTGCATTATGACCTGAGTGGAAAATCTAAGACCTTCCCCATGTGACCTATGTGTCCCATCCAGTTGAGATGGAGTGGAATAAACACCTGATAACCGACAGAATAATGAGCTTGCTTCAGTCTGTTTGGTGTTCAGCACCACGGACAGCGACATCCGATTCAGGAATGCTGTTCAGAGAGAAAAATCTGGGACACACAGACACAGAAACAACGAAGCCGATTGTGAAACACACAAAGTGAAGGTTAATAAAGGTAGAACAAGATAATAAAGCGTGAACGTCCTCCCGGTACATAACACCTCCCCGCTCAGATCCCCGTATCGATCACATTAAGACCGCGTTTGACTCCTCGCGTCCCTGACACCCCCAAGGTTTTACTGCCCTCACAGATGAGCAGTTTTATGACTGCGGGATGGGGGGGGGGGGAGGGGGAGGGGAGGCATGCCCAGCCTCCATCCGCTCAATAACACACATCCCTTCTTCTCCTGACAGAATCGAATCACCCGACCTGATTAAACCGCGCGACGCGTCGCCAAATTAAAAGAGCGCGTTTGATGTGTGATGAAAGGAAATTGAGATTTGGAGTGACTCGGTTGTCCTCGAGTGTCTGGATATATCTCGCGGCAAACGCTCGACTTGATCAAAGCGGAGATTCGGATTTTTTGATTGGGACTCAGATTTAGCTGCGTCGGCGCTGAGAGATAATAGATTTAGTGCTTAATCTCGCCTCAGACTGCATTGCCTTATGCTTATATCCCGCATGTTTAGAGCAGTGTTTTTCAACCTTTTTTTGAGCCAAGGTACAGTTTTTCATTGAAAAAATCTCGAGGCACACCACCAACCAAAAATGTTAAACCAAATCTGTAGCCGCCTATAGTAACACTATAGTTATTCTTATTTTATTCTTATCTTACCTTAAGTGTCATGAATAGGAATCAAATAAACACAAAAATGTATTTTTATCTTATTTTGTATTTCTTCTTCTTCTTTCAAATTGCACTTAACATGTCCACTTCAATATACAAAATTATATACAAAATCTAGTCATAAGGAATTATTACATGATTACGCCACCAGTCACTAGTACAGCACAGACACTCAAAAATGGAATATTATTTGCAGAAAATTAATTCCTAATTAAAATTTTTTTTAGACCAATTAGGTGAGATAGGATGATTTTCTACAGCACACCTGACCATCACAGTGGTTGAAAAACACTGGTTTAGAGTAAAGCAGGCTATGATGTGCTTTTTAACTCAAACTCATCCCTTTGTGGGGCTTCTCCTCTCGTAGATGGTCAGCATGCGGCGGTTGCCGGGCCCGAAGAACCCGGCAGAGATGACCTACTACGCCCAGCTCAACGGGGCGCCCATCTCCGGAACCACAGCCGCCAAGACCCTCAGCAGCCTGGACTCCCAGACCATGGCCCTGACCCTGGGATACTTTGTGCAAGTGCAGGCTGAACGTAAGCGAAACCCTCGAAAAACCCACGAATGAAGGTCCCACGCGCCAGACGCAGCACAACCTCCACCTTTTACCGACTCAAATATCAGAGCCCATCCAGGAAAACCTATCCCAGCAATAGAAATGAGAAACTAGAAACAGCTAAATCTGACGGGACGTTTGTAAAAGAGGCTCAAATGAACGTTTCCAGGGTGAGAATTCGATGCTAAAGGCTGAAGTATTTCTAAGAAAAAGCAAAAAGTTTCAAATAAACAAACAAAAACAAAAAATTGAAAAAAAATAAAATAATAATAATAATTATAATACATAAAAAATTTTTTTTTAAAAATGTAACAAAATATATTAAAAAATAAACAAACAAAAAAAAGAAATTGAAAAAAATAAATAAAAAATAATAATAATAATTACAAAACATAAAAAAATTTTTTTTTAAATTGTTAAAAAAAATATTTAAAAAAACAAACAAAAAATAAGTAAATAAAAAAAATTGATTCATTAAAAAATTATTAAAAAAAATAAATTAAAAAAAATAAAAAAAACAAGACGAGCAGTGCCCCAAAACGGTCAGTGGCTTTAATGTCAGCCCTGAAACAGATTAGATGCTCACATGGAAGCAGGGCGGCTGTCAGCAGGCTGATGAAAGCTGACGATCCGTCTCTTTTCCTTTTTCTCTGGCAAGTAGAGCGAACCTCCCAGATTCCTGAGGATCAGGGGGGTCCCCACTGGGGGCTCAAAGCGACCGGTGAGATCGGCCGGTCTTTAGGGCCTTTAAAGGAGTCTGTGAGAATACAATGTAGAAATCGGTGGAGTATTTTACAGGGAGCCAAAATGCAGAGGCTCAGACAGGAGACACGCGATCACCAGTTGATCTTCTGGCTGCATAGTTTGGGAACAAAACGTAAGACTTTTCAGGGAATGAGAGCTTGTTCTGCTGGTTCATCCAGATGTGGACACACATGAGGAGTTAGCTGTTCCAGAGGTGTCTTTAAGGCGTGAAATAATGAAAATGTGACGTACTTACTGACAAACAAGGTCAATTTATCCAAACGTATGGTGAAATGGTGAGCTTTCTGTGGCAAAATAGCCTTTTTATCATCAAGACAAACGACAACTCGCAGGTTTCTTAGGTTTTATGGACAGAAAAGAGGAGAAATGTATGCGTAAAAACACTTGAATGGGTCTAAATCCACTTTTGTTTGAGTACCACTTGAAATTGTGAGCCAATATGAAATGAATTTGAATAAAAGGAAGAATATTTCAGCCATAACATTAAAACCAGTGACAGGCTTAACGATGCCCGGCTGGGAAACCTTCAGCCTCGGACCCACCTGAGAAAATCCCACCATGTTTTGGCTCAAAAGCGTTGGACTGAGCCGGTAGTACTTTCAGGAGAGAAGCTTTGACTGCGGGCGAGTTAACAGGAGCCTCTATTAGTCAAGTTAGCTCACCGTCATTGAAGAAGCTTCGTTTGTTGTTTGTTTACTTGATCTATTTGTTGGTTTATTTCTGGCCAGAAGCTTCCCTTCGACTCCTCAGCTCATGTTTCCCTCCACAGTGGCGGCTTTAAGACATTCTGGTAACCCTTTAAAGCCCAATCCAAGAAAAAATAGGGACAATTTTTGTTATCGTCTGAAGTCTTTATTTGACCCTTCATAAAATATATGAGAAAAAACTGAAATTATTTTTGAATATTCGTCATTTAATATAAGTCAAAATGATTGTGAATCGTCTTCTGCCCGCTGTTATCAGCTAGACCTGATTGTGTACAACAAGGTTTTGAAAAAAGTTTTTACCAGGAAATGATGCAAAAGGTCACAGATGCAAAATTTTTCAGAAATCGTATGTATCAAATATGACACATATGGCATTATAGGGTTAAGACGCTGCTTCTGAACTGGAGTGTAGCTCATTGTGACATTCTGTAACATTTGGGTTTTGCATAAATTTCCATGCATTTCCATAATCTGTGGCGCTCCACAGAACCCAGATCAGAGATCCGGGCCTCGTTGGGTCGGGCTCTGGAGATCGCAGCCCGATGAGTTTGGCCGTATTTTTTTTGTGAGTTTTGCTGTGCGGCCGTGCCAGAGAGGACAAAGTGTTCCCGCCTGCTTTTCCCCGTTTTAGTTTTCTCCGGATCGACAAACTGGAGAGCTGTCCCTGGTTCCCCGAAGCAGAATTGCTCCTCTAGAACACATTTAGTTTCCCTTTATGGGCTCACCAAAACACTTCCCAATGGAAAACAGTTCTGTCACAGCGGGGCTCAGCAAAAGAAATCGTTAAAAAGACGTTCGGCTGAGGAACTATTTTTAGAGGGAACATACTTTAATTGTTAGCTTAATTATTATTTAACCATCAGGCAATTTTACAGGATGGTTTGACTTAATCAGATGAAACATCTGTGCAAAAAGCTATTTATTTGGTCACTTTTTCCAGTCTATTCGAGTAAAATAGATAAATAAATCATTAACAGAAGCTAAATTAAGTCACGAAAATACTTACAATTATAGATACCAGCTATCTTTGTTGTTTTAATCTATAAACCATCATGAGATAGCTACAATGGGAGTAGCTGAAACTGTGCCTAAATATTCATTTTTAAAAGGCCATTGTGATTAAAATTATGCCTAAAAGCTGATTTCTACCTGATATGCAAAAGTATGAAGCCACAAAACAGTCAAACACTAAAAGTTCAGCTCTGCATGTTCAGCAGAATCAGCCGTTTCACCAATGTTGACCTAAACTTTATTTAAAAGCAGGCCCAAAGCGATTTAATCTGTTTTAGTTTGTCCCGTTTTAGTTGCTAGACAGAAGAGATTGTTAAATGTCAAACTGTATTTCTGAACCATTTCTCAACTGTTTACAGATTTGAAAAATCTGCGTGTTCCTGAATAGTTTTCCTGCGTTGTTTGACTTTCTTTAAACCTTAAATAGTTCTGCTCATTGACTTTAATTTGTTGTTTTTGAATGCATGGCCTGTAAATGTTAAGGTTTTCAGTAGTTTAATATTAAAAGACTGTGTCCTGTCATTTTAATTCACAAAGAGGAAACCGCTGCTTTCCTTTCTTAACCAATTAATTGTTAAACGTCAGGAAGTGACCCAGTCGGCCATTTTTTCTGAATCAGCACGTGTGTATATACCCCCAAAGTCTGCATTTATTTGATACTAAATGTTTGGAAAGATCCTTGAGGTGCACCAGTAAGACGTTTAAAGAGCTCATAGATGTGGTAGGCTGTTGTTTTCCTGTCAGAAATCAGGCCTTATTGTTTTTTCTGTGCAGCCGTGGTGAAGACCCCCCCCGGAAACCTGTGGATCATGGCCGTCCTGACGCCGCTCTGCTTACTGATGGTGGTGATCGGCATGGTGGCCTTCATCCTGTGTAAGAGGAACAGGGTCCTTTTCAAAACGGGGGCCTTCAGGACCTTTAAAAGCCGCTCCAAGGTAAGAAAACGATCTATGCCTGTTCATATTCCTCCAAACTCTCTCCTTATCTACTCTTAATGAGTTCAATTATTATCATTAGAATCATAGAATGAAAAATAAATCTATCTATCTATCTATCTATCTATCTATCTATCTATCTATCTATC